TGGAAATCTTGTTTTACTTCTATCCTTATCACTTAATCACTCCACTCCTATCTAGGATGGTTACCAAGGAAATAATCATTATGTAATTTCACCTACAAATATTTAGGATGTGTCTCTAAAAGATACCTGCTTTTACTATTATAGCATGAATGCCATTATAATACTCAAAAATCTAAAATGATTCCATTATCCTTTTGCAGATAAAGGCATTGCGTAAATCTCTGTCTTTCTTATCATTTTGCTGTTGGTGCTCTCCTTCCTCTGCTATTCCTGACCAAAAATAGCAATTACTTATTTTTTAAAAAGATTTATTTATTTATTCATACAAGAACTGGGGTGCAGGCCAGAGGTGCAGGGGGTAAGAGGACTCAACAGAGACAGAGTAGGGAGCAAAACAGGCAGACTGAGTGAAGCACACTGCTGAGGGGAGGAGTGGGTGAGGCAGGGGAGGTCTGCTGTGCCATGTAGCTCTCTGGCTGGGGATTGAACTCGTGCTACAGTGGTTGCAGACGGCCTCATAGGTTGCATCTCAACACCTTGCACCACTAGGGAGGCCCCAGCAATTACTTATTAGATATGTCTTTTGCTAATCTTTCCTCCTATTCTGTGGCCTGTCATTTTCATTCTCATAAGCATCTTTTTTTTTTTTTTAAGATTATTTATTTATACAAGCACTGGGTACAGTCAGAAGCGTGGGAGGGTGAGAGAATTCACCAGAGCCAGAGCAGGGAGCAGAGCAGGCAGAAGGACCGAAGTACACTGCTGAGGGGAGCAGCGGGCGGCAGGAGAGGTCTGCGCGCCATGCGGGACCCTCCTGCGGTGGCCGGGGAGCAGCCCGGGATCGAACTGGCGCTGCAGAGGCTGCGGCCAACTTCGCAACCCTGCACTCAACCGCTGCGCCACCGGGGAGGCCCATAAGCATCTTTTTTGAGCAGAAAGTTCTAGCTTTAGTAATGCTCCATTTATCAGTTCTTTCATGGACTGTGCCTGTGGTATAGCTAAAGCATCATCATCAAATCCAAGGTCATCCAAACTTTCTACTATGTTCAGTTTTGTAGTTCTGTGCTTTACCTTTAGGTCTGTGACTCATCCTGAGTTTATTTTTGGAAAGGTTGTAAGGTCTTGGTCTAGGAATCTTTTTTTTTTTTTTTAATTTCACATAGAAATCCAGTTGTCCTAGCACTACTTATTGTAAAGACTCCTTTTCCTTTGTTTCTTTGTCAAAGATCAGCTGACTTTATTCTTGAAGGTCTGCTTCTAGATTCTCTATCACTTTGTCAGTTTTTGTTTATTGTAGCTTTATAGAATGTCTTAAAGCAGATAAGTGTCAGTCCTTCAACATATTTCTTCTTCAATATTGTTCTGTCTTTGCAGATAAAATTTAGAATCAGTTGTTAGATATCCACAAAATAAAAAGGTGAGATTAAGAAAATATTTTAATGAGAGGTATTTAATTTATGGGATTTTATTGGCATTTCATTGCATTGAATCTATAGATCAACTTTGGAAGAACTAACATCTTGAGACTATTGAGTCTTATTCATGAATATAGAATATCTTTGCATTAATTTAGTTCTTCTTTGAATTCATCAGATTTGTGGTTTTACACATACACACACACACTCTCTCTCTCACACACACACAGAGAAAGAGAGAGCTCAAGCTCTAGATTTATACCTAAGTATTCCATTTGGGGGTGCTAATACAAATGGTGTGTATAATTTCAAATTCCACTTGTTTATCCCTAATATGTAAGAAAGTGAATGACTTTTGTATATAAAATTAATATCCTATAACCTTGCAAAAACAGCTTAGTTCCATAAGTTTTTTTCCTAGTCTTTCACATTTTCTACATGGATGACCATGTCACCTGTGAATAGTCAGTTTTCTTTCTTTCTTTTCAACCTATGTGCCATTCTGTTTCTCTTACAATTTTTTTTTTTTGGTTTTATTGCACTAGCTAGGATTTTTATAATATTGAAAAATAATAGTGAGAGAGGAAACAAATCCTTGCTTTTTTCCTGATTTTAGTGTTAAACTTTTTACTTTCTTATCCTTATGTATGATGTTAGGCTGTTTTTTGTAGGGGTTCTTTATCAATTTCAGAAGACTCCCCTCTATTACTAATAGTTTATTGACAGTTGTAGTAATAAATAGGTGCTGGGCTTTGTTAAATGCTTTCTCTCTATCTGTTGGTATGATCGTGTGATTTTGTTAATGCGATGGATTACATTAAGTGATTTGTGAAGGATGAACCAGCCTAGCATACCTGAGATAAATCCCACTTGATTGTGGTATGTAATTCTTTTAAAGCCTATTCCACCAAAGGTGGTTGTGGATTTCTTTTTGGGAAAGACAGGACTAGAACAATAAATCTGAAAATATCTCAATATACTATTATTCTCCTTGAGTTTTTCTGTTTATTTTTAGCACTTACAGAACAGAAAAAAAAAAATGAGACAAAATAAAATTTATCTGGCCTGCCCAGACCCTTACTATATGGAATTTATATCTTTAAATATGACAAACATATCATTTTGTGAATAAACATTTTACAGAAAATGCGTTTTGCTTCTAAACAAAGAATGACTTAACCTCTTAGATTATTCAAATTCAGGAAAATTATATCAATATTTTATTGTAAGAATTGTGTTCATGTCAAAATATAGTTTAAAATTAAGTGTTACTTTATTTGCCACATGATTTTGAATCTGATTCATGCTACTTAAAAGCAATGTTTCCTGTATACCTGCAAAAAAGCCCACCCCCAAAAAAATTAGAGGAAAGATTTTACTTTTTTTTTTTTTTTTGGTTAACACCATAGCACACAATCACTCAAAGAAAATGTCTACCTAGCCAAGAATTTTGGGGGGAATGGAAATAGATATCTCACACACATCAAACCACATCTTTTAAAATAAAAATTCTCATAAATTTTTGCATGATGCTGAAATAGCTGACACACCTGAATAATTACACAGAAAGTAGAATTGTGATAATTTTCTAGGAAAAAAATAGCATATGGGCCTCCATGGTGACAACAGGGCTTAAGCACATCACTGTGAAATGATCCACAGCCCCTGCAGCATGAGTTCGATGCCAGGGAGCTACCTACGTGGCACATCAGACCTCTCCTGTCTCTTCTGCTGCTCCCCTCAGCAGTGTATTTCAGTTAGTTTGCCTGTTCTGTTCCCCAATCTGTCTCTGGCCTGTACTCCAGTTCTTATATGCATAAATAAATAAATCTTAAAAAAAATAGCAAAGTGTTTCATGGTAATAGACTTTGAAGCCTAGTCAGGCATAACTTTTGCAATGCTATTTTCCTTAACATTACTTGCTAACATTAAACTATTACTATTTCTAAAATGTTTTGGAGAGTTTCACTCAAAACAATATATTCCCCTTTGAATGAATAGTACATATTCCTCACCCTTGACTGAAGTCAACTATTAGATGCCAGGCTGCATGTAGCACCAGCTACTATAAAATCACTTTAGAATCAAATCTTACTTTTCATATATAATAGGTCTCAACTTGAAGCTTCTATGACTTTTCTCTCACTCTCATTAAGGGGCTTGGGAAAAGACAGTTGTCTTACCACCCACACCTGCCTTAGGCCACTGCACTGTTCTTTCCGTAGACATACACAGTTTTGTTCAAAGAGAACTCCTCTGTTCCTTCACCCTCTTTTTCATCTGCTTCTTTCCTTCTTTTACTTTTTGATAAACTCCTTAATGCCTTAGTTAAGAAGAATGTTAAAGCCAGGAGCAGTCATGATGTGAGCAAAAATGAGACAGCATTCCACTTAAAATACTCCTTTTGTGATGAATTCCTCAAAAATAAGTGTTTTGAAGTTGATTATGCTTCTGTGTGCAAAGAAGAACTGATGAAGGCAAGGATTAAAGATGACATTTGAAAAGAATGACTTTTTTTTTTTTTAGTTGTACTTAAAATTATTTCAAATAAAATCTCAGAATCTTCCTGGAATGTTTTTGAAAAAAAGTAATAACCATGGTATTAACTGGATGATAAAAACATCTGCCATGCTGATAAATACCTTTACATCTGACAGTCAGGCACTCTTGATTCAGCAGTTCTATAATCATCAATGTATTTAATTGCTAAAAGAAATCTATGTGAACTGATTTGCCCTCAGGTTTTGGTTAGCAGATTTTTAGAAAAGTGATGGAAACTATATCTGCATTTCATTTAAAAATCTGTGAAGCAAGAAGAAACTTTTTGGTAGAAAAATGAAATATGAATAAAAGTAATTTGTCAATCACATTTTGAAAGGAAAATATCTCTCAAACTTAGAGCTATTATCTTAAAAACCACCCATGGACTATTACTCAGCAATCAAAAAAAAATAAACTCATGCCATTTGCAGCAACACGGATGGAACTGGATGGGAAATATGCTATGAAATAAGTCAGGGGAAAGACACAAATCATATGGTGCCACTTATATATAGAATACAGAGAAACCAAATGAAGGGTAAGATAAATCCAGACTAAAACACTACTCCTTGGGCCTCCCTGGTGGCGCAGCAGGTTGAGCCCTGCGCTGTGAAGCTGTCTGCAGCCTCTGCAGCGCTAGTTCAATTCCCAGCTGGCCAGGGAGGTACTCACATGGCACAGCAGACCTCGCCTGCCTCGCCCACTGCTTCCCTCAGCAGTGTCTTCATCTATCTGCCTGTTTTGTTCCCCACTCTGTCTCTGGTGAATTGTCACACCTTCCCACACCTCAGCCTGTACCCCAGTTCTTCTATAAATAAATAAAAATCTTAAAAAAACAAACAACTACCCCTTGAAGGCTGACTACAGAACTGAGATATACAGAGGGGGAGAGGGAGGGAAAAGGAAAAGGCTGAGCACAAAGTAGGGAGGAAGCACAATGGACAATGGTGGTGGGGTATGGGAGCTCTGGTGGTGGGAGAGTTATGGTAACAGCACCGGAAAGGGGAGTGGAGTTCAATACTTACAAAAGGTAAGCAATAATGTAAAACAACATAACCTCAATTAAAAATAAATTTCCTGTATTGCTAGTTTCCCCATACTTCTTCGTTCTCTGATACTTGAGTTGGTTTAAGTTTGCAGTGCACAAATAAGTTTGAATTAAATTTGTCTTTATCTTGGAATTTATAAATACCTGTTAAGCCATACAAATTAAAAGATTATATTCAAGAAACCCATTTCCATGCTTTTCCTTATTTTTATTAGCACCCAGGAAGGTAGCAATATGAGCTGTGTATAATGTGCAACATTATAGTAACACAGATTTGAAAAGGCAAAGATGCTGCATCTGTGGCTTATTTCATAGCAACACTGATTGGTTCCCTCAATCAAGAAATACATTTCCTCCACACGTGAATTATTCTTCAATAATGAGAGCATGTCAAGGTAGGTGAATACGTTCATAAAATCCACCCAGCGAATGATAAGCCATTATTGTCAGTATTAGGGTAACTGTCCCATGGTTTGATAAAATTCATAATCCTCACTTCTAAGTGCTTAATATTGTTAGTTAGTACTTATTACCTGCCATCCACTAGCATTTCCACAAAAATATATGAGCATCAAAAAATGAATCATGAGGTCCTCCCCTGGTGGCGCAGGCAGTTGAGCATTGCGCTGTGAAGCTGTCCGTGGCCTCTGCAGCGCCAGTTCAATCCTGGCCGACTGGCGAGGGTCCCACATTGTGCAGCAGACCTCTCCTGTCTCTTCTGCTGCTCCCCTCAGCAGTGTATTTCTTCAGTCTGCCTGTTCTGTTCCCTGCTCTGTCTCTGGTGAATCCTTTCACCCTCCCGCGCATCTGGCCTGTACCCTGGGTTCTTGTATAAATAAATAAATAAATAAATAAATCTTAAAAAAAAATGAATCATGACTTCTTGAGACAAAAATCTTCTAAGAGTTTACTCTTTTGTGTGTTCCTTCTTTTGGAACTGAAGTGTGATTTGAAACCAGAGATTCAAATACTATATTACTGAACTGTATTTCTCACTCTGTAGTGTTAAACTATATATGAAGCAATTTTTTTAAAGAAGACAGAACTGGCATACGTGACCATGGGCCTAAGTATGAAAGAAATGATTCAATGAATATTGTGTTTTCATCACCTAATTCTCTCACTTGATTGATCCATTTTTGGTGCTAAATTCTGACTCATGATAAAATGACAATTTCTCTAAAACAGTCTCACTTTTGAGTTCCATCACATTAAATCAACTATGAGGCAGCAGCATTTCTTCTGTGTCACAGGCAGAGGAACAAGGCGCTGAACAATGCATGAAGAGATGTATCAAAATAAAAGATTGTAAACTCATTAAAAGATTTAAGATAGTTTTAAACAGAAGCAAATTTCACAAACAACCTGCACATAACATACAAATAGCTAATGCTCAAACAGGTTTCATGATACAAAATAGGCATTGTAGAAGAAAAAGGAATTTTAAAAAGTAATTCAACGATTTTTTTAGATTCAGGTCAATAAATTACTCAATATTCATTGTTTTGTACTTGTTTACTACTAAGAAAACATATTTTCTTTCTATATCTTTCATTTACTTAAAGACTTGTAGCAAGATAACAACTTCTTCATACTGTTTTTCAGTGAAGACAATCCAGTCTTGATACCGGAATTACCAAAATTATCTTTAAAAATCTGAATCATTAGTTTTTTTTGTTGAAACCCAACTATTTAGTATCATAAAAAATCAATTTTGCATTTACCTGGAAAGATTGTCTGGGATTCAGATAGAAGTTTAACTTATTCTGGATAATTTCAGGAATAAGCCCCTACCATGATAGTTATCCAATATTTTTAATGTGTGAATTTTCTCATGTCATCTGATTTTAGTTTTTCAATTTGCATGGTCTAAAATGGCAGGAAATATATGACTTAATAGGCCTCTTATTTCTTTTTGCCCCAATGTTTTCCTTAGTGGGAAGGAAACATACACCACCCCAATAGAAGACCATGAGAATGTGCAGACTCACTGGAAGATGATAGGATGGCTCAAGTGATGTTTCATTCTAAACTGCAACACTCCATGATTTTCCAATATTCTGTTTCCACATAAACTCTTAACAATCATTTATAGAACCCCGGGAAGCAATGCCTGGGGAGGTTCTAGCCAAGACAACAGAAAAGTCATACTCTTTCAACTCTACAAAATCGGCCTCTATAAAAGTGTAAAAAACTTTGAGTTAAAAAAGAAATTGACACAAGGCTACTGGCCTCTGGCCCTAAACTCAAGGAAGACTGTGATGCCAGATAGGCAGCCAGCTCCTTGCTCATGATGATGAATACAGCACTGATTGACTCAGTTGGACACTGTTTTCCTGAATCATGACTGCCTTGTCAAATTCAGCAGAACTAACGTTCAAGTTCTCTTTTAATTTGTTAAGCTCAAAGTCATGGAGAATCTTGATGGTCGTTAACTTTTCTCTCTTGATTCTGTCCCGAACATCTTTTGGAACATCAGGGATCATCCAGGCCAACAAAAATTTGACTAAAAACACAATGTGCTGGAGGAAACAAAAGAATATCAGAAGATTGTTAGAATTGCCAAGTGTGCAGTAGGAAGTTCTTACAAATCATTTCATTTCTTCCATAAACTGACACAGGAGGTGCAAGAAAAACAAGATATGGTCCCCATCCTGGAAATTAAATTAAACCAGAAATTTTGGATTCAGGGGTGGCAGCCATAGCGAAGGATGGAGGGTAGCCCCATATTCAGAACAGGGCAACAAAGTGAATCGTGAGATTCTCCTAGTCCCTTTTGCATTGCTAAGCTCTGAGGCTATAGACCGCCATTCAAGGACTCAAAAGACAGAGGTTGGAGAATTGTTCTCTGGGGAAAATCACTAGTCCGTAAAATTAAAACTACTGATATCAAAAATTAGTAGGTCTTAAATAAAAAGGTATCCTCTATTATCACCCTACAGAGAAACACATCAAGTGACATTTCTCCTGTATGCATACAAAGCTTATAACCTGAGCAGTTACCTTTAGGAAAGACTTACTTCCATAACTATGATGAAGGTCATCTTGGCAGCAAGGACGTGCCAGAACTGCATATTATGAAAATATTTCTGATCGTGATCAGGAGGATATCTGTAATCTCTATACCTGGAAAACAAAAGTAAATGCAAAAAGTTAGTTAATGCTTCAAATAGAGCCCTAGCATAAATTATATTTCTTCATCCTTTTAGTTAATCACAAAATGCAAATCACAAGAAGGTAGTTGCAATTGTGAAACATTTACCTTTCTTGTACAGATAAATGGTTAGCTACATTTTACTTATGTATAATATGGCTTTAGCAGGAGACACAACTGAAATTTCTCTCCTTGCCTTCAAAGACGAATTACTCAAGAGAGTTAGCAAAATTTGCTATGTCTATTCCTCTCTTCCTACTCCTTAACACATTTAGTTCTATCCACTCACTACACTAAACCAATTGTCTCCTGTCATAAAATTGAAGATAAATTTAAATCCTCACCTAATTTGATATTTCAAGAATAGAAATTGATATTGTTGACCATTTTTGTTTTCTTGAAACTATTTTCTTTTGGCTTAACAGACACTGCACTGTTTTGTTTTCCTTACTATTCTTCTGGATTTTCTAAGTGCTCAACTGTGTGAGCTCATTGTTTTCTAAAAGGGTTGCTAGATAGTTACATTCCTCAAAGATTTACTCCAGTTAGGAAGTCATGGCATTAAGCAATCTGACACACTTGTGAAATAAATACAAATAAATTTGTGTGCACATATACCACATATATGTACATATATCATGTATATATATCATGTATATATGTGTATATTTATATATACACGTAAAATTTAATTTTGAGAGTAAAAATAGCCTCATAGTACATGAGATACAAAAACCTTCACCCTTTCTTGCATAGGAAAAATCTTAAATAGGATAACTGGTGAATTAATCACATTGATGTTTCTCTCTCACTTTCTCTTTTCAAGGACACACAGTCAAATCCAAGTAGGATAAATGCATATGTAATCTGCTCATGCTGTATGATTGCGATATCACAACTTGGGACCAATGGTCCCAAAAAATGCTGGTGGAAAAATCTTTCTAATAAATTTAAAAAATAAGAACCAATACAAAATCGACATTATTTTTTCCAGTAACATTCTCTTATTTTTGGAAATTCTACCTTTCCAATTCAAAAATCATACAAGGTGTGAATTCTAAAAATGGTGCACTTTATCCAGGATTTTTACTCCCAAATAAATTCTTTACATTGTAAGACAATAAATAGAGAACTTAAGAAATATATTTAAATGGAGAAATTAAAAACTATAAAAAAGGAAACCTGCAAGTAGTGAAATCTCGTTTCCCTGTAGGTGCACTGCGTTCAGGAAAATCAGCTATCAGGAATACTGACAGGCTGTTATTGACATATCCTTTCATAGGTTCGCTGGTATTTGTTGAATAGGCATAGTAGTAAACTAAGCGGTGAATGATGTCCGATGTAAATGCAACAATAAAAGCCTGAAGGACAAAGAAGTCGAGATCGTGAACTAACAATTTCATTTTTTAAATGTTGATTATCTCTTAGTTCTATGTGCCACATGGATGCAAAATGACTAAAGTGCTAATACAAATCATGTTAATATAAAAGTCTTTGGGCTAAGCTATGAAACAGTTAACCTTACAGTACACGATTAGCAATACAACATGGTTATGTAGTGTGACTAAAGTGAAAATTGTAACTAAATTAATGTATTCCACCATGCTCTTTTCACCATGTCTTACTAATGCTTTCATTTTTTATTGTTTCATGCATAGATCTACTATCCTTCACCAAATTTACTTACCTGGTCTAACTCCATAAACTGAGTGTGTGTGTGTGTGTGTGTGTGTGTGTGTGTGTGTGTGTTTAAGGTTAGCAGGAGGAAATGAGAGATGATAGATCATATGCTGATGGATTTCCCACAGTTTGATGCAATTAATTTTAACATTTGATTCCAAAGGAATGGTCTTTCCCCATACTTTCCCAATATCTGGAATAGTATAAATAGCACATTTCCTTTACAATAGATGAGCCATTTAAAAACTATCTGACTCCACCATCTATGATTTCAGTGGTAAACTTTAAAAAACTTTGACTATTACTTCTTTAGCTACTGGTCCATTCATATTTTCTCTCACAGGGTAAATTTTGGCAGATATAATTTTCTAAAAAAGTGGCAATTTCAAATACATTTAAAACTTTACTGGAATAAATATATATATAAGCATTTTCTCATATTTTTTTCCCTGTCTCTTGTAACTCTTTTTTCTTGTTTGAGATTTTCTAGGGTTTGCTTACTTTATTTGTATTTTTAAGAAACAACACTTGACTTATTTAGCAATTATGTTGATTATTATTTGTTTTCTAGTTTGATTATTTATTAATTTTTACTACTTTCTATTGGTTAATTATATATTTTTCTTAGTTTCTTAAGTTTCATTCTCATCTCAGATTTTTCAATCTTAATTTTTAATAATAAAAACATTGATCACTAGGGATTTGTGGTTTGAGGTGACTCCTATAGATTTTCATTTTAATTAAGCTTTCTATATAATTTCAGTTTGTTTCATCTTATTCAATAAAGCTTATTTAAAGGGTTAATGTTAAGAGTTATATTTTCTGGTATGAATTGACTTCAATTTTCAAACCATTGTTATAGGCAAATATGATTATGGAATTTGTGCTCTGGGAAATTTATGTCATCATCATTTTTAATAAGTGCTCAAGACATAACAGGTAAATTTTGTGCATTCTGTTTGTAGTATATAACTTTACATATAAGCAAGTTTTGATTGTATTATTCAAGTCCTTCAGGCCATGGCTTATTTTTCTGTCTACTTTGACACATTATGAAACTGTGTCATGGTATTTTAATGAACATGATTACATTACATGAACATGAACATGATTACAATCCTTGTATTTCTAAGAGTTTGAATGTCATAGATTTCTCTATATTGCTTAATGCATAAAAGTTGGGGATATCACCATGATGAATGTCACCATGATGAAATTAATGTAATAAAGACTGAGTTAAACAACATTCGCATTTTCCCATTCCCGAGAAAATAAAATAAAATTTCAAGTCACCCTACCAAAATAAGTGCACTTACATTAGTCGCAACAGAAAGGATAGCCATTCCATTAAGAATGTCTTGCCAAACACCTATGCTATGGGCTTTAGCCGCTACAGGTCTCCTGTACTGAGTAGTAAGTTTCCAGGCATCCACTCGGATCTCTATAATATTATTCAAGAGAGCAAGAAGAGGAGCCAGAGGAAAGGAGGCCACAAATAATGTAACAAATCCAAATTGGATCACTGTGGGGGAAAAAAGAAAAATTCACCAACTCATTATTTTAGCCGTGAACGGGGGAAACATTGCCCACCCTCTGCGACTTCCTTCATTTTGGAGGAACTAGCACCAACCACAACATTCTAGACCTCTTTGCATCTACCCACTTCCTCCTCGAATTTGGAAGCATAGTGACTTATTTGCTTATTTATTTGCTTATTATAATAGGAAGGTGACATTTGGGCATGAGAACTCAGTCCCGTGTGTGTGTGTGTGTGTGTGTGTGTATTTTTTTTTTGTTTTTTTTTGTTTTTAGAGAGATGCTTACTTGAAGAAAACATTGATTCTTCTTTGCTTTACATTAGGAGCTGTGTTTAGGTCTATGCTGGTGTGGCCTTTATTTACACTGGCTTTGGTATATTAGTGGGAAAATCAAGTTTTCCTGTCTTGTATAAGTACATTTTGAGATCAGGAAAAATATCTGATTCATTTGTAGGCTTCCAAAAGCCACCATATAAAAGTACAGTCAACTAAAAGTCTTAAGAGAAAAAGCATTATTGCAGATTTGAAGAACCTACCAAATGAAATAGCAGTGAAAGATGAGAGACTTGAACTTGAACTTTCTATGTTCAAATCCCAGATATCTACCTAAAAACTCTGTGTTCATGGTAAATTAATTAACTTATTCAAGCATCAGTACCCTCAAAAATAAAATGCAGCAGATAATGACTACTCTGTACAATGTTTAAGATTAGTAATAATTTACGCAGAACATCCAGAATCATACTGAGTTGTCTCTCAATAAATGGTAGCTAATCTTGTTAGGAAACCTTGATTTCATCTCAACTTCAATGATAATCTATGATGCATTAATGCAAAAATTACTTTGAAATTTTTGCAATTAATTACAAATTATAATCTTATAACCTCAATGGAAAAAGGACCTAATTTTACAACCAGCTATATGAGGCAAACTTCTTTCTATATATCTATGAATATATCAGTGGAGACTGATTACCAATACCAGGTCAACTCATTTATTCCACCATAATTTTATGGGCCTTGAGAATAAGTTAAGAAAATTGTTCTTTTTTCTTCCATAAGAGAAGCAGAGGTCACTTAAGAGGGAACACTCTGAGAGGACTATACAAGTAATACCCATCATTCTCCCTCCTAAAATTTTGCCTCAATCTTTAGTATATCCTCAATGTTCAGTCTTTAGTATATCCAGTCTTTAGTCCTTAGTATGTCCTTTTGTGTTCCTTACATTCACTTTGGGTTTCCCTTACACAGCTGTTGTTAGTTTTCTTCTTTTCGGTCTGGAAATAAAGGATACACGCTAAATGTATGCAAGACTCTGGAAATGGTTTTCAACTGACTCGACTCTCTTAGTTGCTATTAAGACAAACAAAATGAGAAAACTGTCTATGGTAGTTTATGACAGATTTAAGAATTGATAGCTATTTTATTTGGTTCAACAATATTAACATTCAATTGATTGAAAAAACCTCTAAGACTAGTGCTTTGGAGCTAAACTTCATTTTGCATTCTACCTGGTGGGAATTATAAATACTGAACCAGTATTGAATAACAGTCTCTATATTTTCATCCACTGGCCAATGAACCTACGATGTACAAGGAAGGAAGCAATGTTAAGGATTGAAAAAAACATTTATTTTACTCAATTTGATTATGGTTCAAAGCAGTGGTTGAAAGTTACCTGTTTCCAAGTACTCATAGAAAAGTGCAAGAGATCCAAAACATTCAAGGTCATTATCCTGCTCCCATCGACTATACAGCTTTTCAGAATTGGTTCGAGCTTTTCGGCGTCTCCACCAGTTCAGCATCATGCTGTTGAAAATGATAAAAGTAAACATATGAAATAGAGTTAAAAAGAAAGTGGTCAGAGAAATAGAATGTTGAATCTAGAAATTGGCAGTGAGAGAAGTAAAGTAACTTAAGATCACAGAGAGAGGTGAGCTATGACTACCACTAATATCGAAGTCAAAATCTAGGTTTTTTTTTTTTTTTTCAGATGAAAAAATGGATCAAGAAGATGTGGCATATATACATAAGGGGATACTACACATTGGTCAAAACAAAAAAAAATAAACACATGCCATTTGCAGCACCATGGGTGGAGTTGGAAGGGATTGGGCTAAGTGAAATTAGTCAGAAGGAAAAAGAAAAATATTGAATGGTTTCACTTACAGGCAGAACAAAGGAAAACCGAACAAAGGGTCGTAAAATAGACAAAACTTGCAAACCGACCATAGACTTGAGGCATACAGCAAGGGAGAGGGAGAGGAGGGATTAAGATAGAGGAGGGAAGAGCATAAAGGGACTATGGTGACAGTTCACAGATGCTATATATGGTGGTGGGAGAACTACAGAGACTGTACCTGAAGGGAGAACAATAATGTAAGAAAATACATCAATTAATTTTAAAAAACCTAGGGTTTTTTTTCCCCCCATAACACAGAGATTTGAAATACTCTGCTGTCTTTTGCATTTACTGCTATTAGTGAGAAATCCGTGAGTGCATAGATGATACTCCTTTTTCTGAAAGACTTTAATATTGTTAGTTTATCTCTAATGTTCTACAGTTTCAGCACAATGTAGTTGGGGGTGGGTTTGATTTTATTTATCTTGCTTCATATGCAAAATTCACTTTAACTTTTGGGACTCAGATTTTTCTTAATTTTTGGAAAAATTTCAACAAGTATCTATTTAAATACCGGGTTGTCAGAAAAGTCATGATGTGTATTTTTTGTTTTCAAAATGTGTCATGGCTTTTCCAACAACCCAATAACTTTTTCTTTACCACTACTCAGTTGTTTTTTTCTAGAAGTACTAGTAGTTCATTAATAAGGAAGCTTCTCAATACAGCCTCGTGTCACTTTAACTTTTTTAAATCTCATTGCCTCTCAGTTGTATTGTACAAAATATGAATTTCTCAGTACTATTTTCCAGTTCACTAATTCAGTTTTTAACTGTATTCAGTCTTTAATTGATCCCAGGTATTGTATTTTTTAAAGTGTTATTTTTATTTATGTAAAATTATTTTTCAAATTAATTTGTGCTTGTTTTTGTATCTTTTAATTTAAATTATTCCCTGAATTGTTTAATGATAAATATCCTCTTATGTTTTCAGCCTTTGCCAGAATAATTTAGGCAAATTAGCTTTGTAAACAAAGATTTTGTTAGCAATCTTTGTAGCATTAAATTTCATCATGAATATTAAATTTTCATTTTGTATAATGGATTTTACTTGTTCTTTTTCTTTTTGCCTCTCTCTTGCATACTTTCTTTTATTTCCCTGTCTTTTGTTTTCTTTTTTGCTCCTGTCTGCCTCTTTCTTCTCTCCTTATATTTATTCTATCTCTTGTTTTATGGGGTTGTTTCCACTCTGCCAGACTGTGGGTTCCCAATGTAGAGGTCAGTCTTAAAATAACAATTTGTAGTCATTTCTTTGTGTCAATATTCACAATGTTGTATAACAAATACTGTCTGAAAAGAGAAATCTATGATTTTCCTTTGTTAGCACATGAAACAGAACTCCAGGAGAACTACAGGTTGGAGGTATTTTCAAACTTCTTTCATGAATAAGTTCTCCCAGTTCCTGGTTCAAGTACAGCTGAACTAGTCTTTCTCCTGTCTTAAGTGGAGCACTTTTAGTGCACTTAATACTGCAGGTGCTAAACCCGGATACTGTCATTTCCTAATTAGGATTCCTAGAAGATCAAGGTTTGTAATTCTTTCCTTTTTGAGCTATGAGAACGTTCATTTTATATTTGAGATTAACTGCCAGCTTGGTTTTCTCTTTAATGTTTTCATTATTGCTATGTGTTTGGAGCAGAGAGCAATCCCTTCATGCACCAGCACTGCATTCTTGGCCAATTTTTGTGCCTAGATATGCTCACAGGATGAGTATTTGTAGTGTTCAAAAATAGTATGCAACATTTAGAATAATCTACAGAGATGATATTTATATTTCTTAGTAGAATCTCCTCAACCTCTCCCTCAACCTTAGTTAAGCAATAGAAATGAATATTTAAAAGACTGTATTATCACAATGAATTCTGGACTATTGAATAAAAGTGAAGTTTTTTTGTTGATATAAACATTTGTTAGCCAAGGGACCATCCCAATTTCTTCCTAGGGAAATCACAGTAATTTAAATCAAGCAAAACTTGTAAGTCATACATACGGATAAATAGCTTCTTTTATGTTTCCAAAGATCTGCTTGCCAGTCATTATGATAGTCAGCTGAGTTGTCAGCTCTATTAGGCAGCCTCCAGTATCACACTAGTCAGAAGCAAGAAGAGAAAAAGGAAGTGAATGATGAAAGAAATCCCAACAGAGAATTAGAACCTGAAGACTTTTGGAGGGAATGGATAATGAAGGGACATAAAAGGATATTTAGCTCAATAGTTCCAAGCGCAAGTGTGACCAGTATCAGGCTGGCTATATTAGATTAGCTGTAGATTAAATTGAAAACAGAGTTCTGGGTCTCATTCTTAGAAAATTGTGAATCTTTGTGTTTGGGTTGGTACTGAAAGTCACTATTTTCTGCATGTGATTTGGATGCATAGTCAGGTTTGTAAACCAATGATCTGGTCTAACTCTATAACCCATGGTAGAACTCTTACTTTTATATCTCCAGAAAGTAATCACTCATCCTTTGCAGGAAGTCTTTCGAGGTATGGAACTTACTTGTCTCACTCCTTAGCTCACATGTGACTACCAAACAATAAGCACAATATGACTTCTTGTCAAATGATATGGAAAGTCTATCAGATGATGGGATTATGAGGCCCATATTCTGTGTGGACAGTGTCTCAGACTTGCAACTTTATAAAACCTGAGTTAGTTCTGGGCATCTGTTAGCAATCAGTTATCGAAGCCATAAATCTCCGCTCTCAAGAGAATTCTTACCTCTTCATTTCTCCATACATTAAACAAATATGTGTATTTTCCAGGATAGCCCACAAACTTCCCTTTAAAGAAAGCTACATAGAAGCAGGATGAATAAAAGTTGACAAACTGAAACAGGAACATTTTCAAGGTGAGACTGCTCTCATATTCCTGGTAAGTTCGAGGAAGCTCTGGTAAGTAAAAACAACAAAAAACCCCCACAAAATTTAATAATGTACCTTCTTGTTGCACTCCTTTGTACAAGTAGATATCTATTCATATTATTCTGAGAGCCTGTTGAAATTCTCCCCACTGCAGTCATAACAGCCCAATATTAAGTAATTGTGGATATTTTAGGCTCTATATCAGGATACCTGTTGATCTAATGAAAGGAGAATCCTAGGAAGTGTTCATTATTACATATTGAGGGGTGAAATACTTGCTTGGGTTTATGAAATCAGAATATGGAATTCAAAACCATGTAAAACTGAAGAACTTTATATTCATTTAATATATTGACAACCAACTGGACTTCTCTCTTGTCTGTTTTCATTCAGGCTTAAACAAAGTAAACTCACATCAAGGGAAAAGAAGACTGCCAAACCAAACTGTGCTTTTCTGTTACAGGTTAAGTGGCTCTAACAATTTTGAAGGCAATTTCTCTAGCTGGTGGCAGCAATAGTACACATTTTCCCTCTCCTTACTTAAAACACCCAATCACGATCTATCATTTAATGAATTCCAAAGATAAAATATTAGGTTTTCTTCACAAAAGAGTAGACTACCACGCAGTCTAAGAGAACGGCTGTGTGATTTGCTGAGGTAATGCTCTCCAGAGAGCATAAATCGATCCAGCCAAAATCATGACATTTTTAGCAATACTGAAATAGCAACATATCATTTTAGAGACATATATAATTCCCCTATTTCAGTGAAATTTAGTTTGTCCTACAAAATCTCCAGTGTGAATACAAGTGATCTTTCTCATGGAAGAAAGCTATATTTTTTCAGATGCTTTTATTTTAGGTACTCTTTGCTATGATTTTTTTTTTTTGTGTTGCTAGCAGAAAAATAATAATTGAAATTGAGAGAGAACTCAAAATTTGAGGATAGTATTTAATGAAGTTACTTCCCAGTTGTTATTCCAAGCCCAGTGAATATTGTGCCCTTCTTTGGTTGCCACTGGACACCATGCCAGTGTTCATCTAGAGGAGGGTTATGAGTTCTCAAGATAGCACTAAGAGAAGAAGCTGAGGCCTTAAGTTGAGCTTCTGATCTTACCTTCAACTTTCTTAGGGCAAGACCAGAAGCCACTGTGTTCTGGTATTCTCTCACTGAAACTCTCACTTCATCTGTGACCTAGCCCCCACCATGCTACCCCCACTTCACCTTTTCTCTTAACTTGAGAAATTGTAATATTCTGATAAATTTTAATATTCTCAAGAGAAAATAATCTAGGTGCTAAGGCACAACAACTGAAGAGAAAATTGCTTCTAAATTTTAGATTTATTCAGGAGGGCTTGGTTGTGCTGTTTTCTCACAATGTTTTTCATAAATCAAATAGTTTTTAGAAACCATATGCATGATATAAAAATTATCTGTGTCTTAGAGGATTTTACTCAGGATTCAACTAGTCCCATTAAGAGAGAATAAAGACAAGAGCACTCAGAAATATCTAGGGAGTCCTAATTTATTTTTTTAAGTTTTTCTTCCTACTTTCATTATAAACAGTTTCATTATAAGATTCTGAAGTTCCAGACTATGGGTCAACTTGTACAGCAAAAATGAAATGAAATATGCCTTTGAAAAATTACCTCTTTGGAAATAATCCAAAATGGTTATACAGGGGCCTCCCTGGTGGCACAAGGGGTTAAGCACTGCACTATGAAGCAGTCTGCAGCCTCTGTAGCACAAGTTCGATCCCCGGCCGGCCAGGGAGCAACCAACATGGTGCAGCAGACCTCTCCTGTCTCCACCGCTGCTCCCCTCAACAGTGTATTTCAGTCAGTCTGCCTGTTCTGTTCCCCACTCTGTCTCTGGTGAATCCTCTCACCCCCCGGCATCTTTGGCCTGTACCCCAGCTCTTGTATGCATATATAAATATATCTTTAAAAAAACCAAAACCAAAACCAAAATGGCTATACAGCAACTCTTTTTCAGAGTTATACTAATGATTTGGTCAGCTTACCCATTTTTGTAATCCATGCAGATATCTTTTCATAAAAGAAATTCAGGATCAAAATGACAATAAAGTTCAGGCATGATCCAGTGAGTGATGTGGTTAACTGGGGAGTGAGGAAACGTCTGACCTGCTGCAAGGACTCATCACTTTCCATGAAGCTGGCAAACGTAGCAAAGACTGACAGACGGTATACAATCACGGCTACCATACACGCAATGACAAGGGCCATCTAGACAAGGGAAACAAAAAAATCAGTCACTGGTCTCTGTGTCTCTGTGATGCATACATATCTTAATCATACTGTTCTGTTCATCTCAGGTTAGCAATTCTCATGTGGAAAGTGAACCAAGCCATCTCTCACCATAGATAGCAGAGAATGAACACTGGTAAGAAAACGGGTTAGAGATGAGAAATACAATTGGGTGAATATAAAATACAAAAGCATTCATTGACTATCTTCTATATCTATTCTCTATCAAGGGTTGGAAAATTAGTAAGAAAATCAAATCCTGCTAATGGTATGTTCTTATATAGTCCTTGAATCAAGAATGCTTTCATATTTCTAAAGGTTATATTCTCTTTATTTTAAAGAAAAATAGAGACAGTCACCTGCCAGAGACTATTTTGTAGCCCACAAAGTCTAAATATATGTGGTGGACAGGCTCTAAGATAAAGTATTTCTCTTTCCCCTAATCCTTTTCCAAAAGTTCAATTAAGCCATATCCATGTAGATTATAATTAATTTCATATAAGAACTCAATTAAATATGATAAATTAGAGGGGAAGGGGAGAAGGAACCAAGAGTTATTGCAGATGAAACTGTTGAGACAACTATAGTATGAATGCTTGCCATAAGAGTATACCAGTTTTGGGCCTCCCCTGGTGGCGCAGGTGGTTGAGAGCCATGCTGTGAAGCTGTCCACAGCCTCTGCAGCACTCGTTCGATCCTGGCAGGCCGGCGAAGGTCCCACATGGTGAGGCAGACCTCTCCTGTCATGCCCGTTGCTCCCCTCAGCAGTGTATTTTGTCAGTCTGCCTGTTCTGTTCCCTGCTCTGTCTCTGGTGAATCCTCTCACCCTCCCGCGCATCTGGCCTGTACCCCGGTTCTTGTGTAAAATGAATAAATAAATATTAAAAAAAAAGAATATACCAGTTTTTAAAGAATGCTCACCCACAAGGTCACTGTAGCTCCTGATAAAAGGTACCACTGGATACGATTACAGAGAGGCATGTGAGGTTCCATCTCCTATAATTTTGAAGAAATCACAGCAAAATTAAAAATCTATACTCTAAGTTAGGACTCTAGGCAGTAAGTCAAATGTCAAAAAACCCATTTAAAGTAGAAGCCTCCCAAAAGGACCCTTGCAGCTCGTGAGAAGCCATAGTCTACCAGTGGTTCCTTATGTTTAAATGAAAAACTTACACGGCTCTTAAAAGAGGTATTTTATACATGATTTGAGATATAATCTATACAACTCTTTCCTGAGTGTTGCAGTAGAGTGGTATTCAGAGTGTGGTAGACAGGAACCAAACTCAAACCTGAGTGCAGCTGTTTATGTGAACATTATTTCATGATGTTACAATTTTATTTTAATTGAAATGAACTGAACTGAGTTGAATTTCATTGTTCTGTAGCTCTGCATGATTAAACAAGGTGCCTTCATTATATTTATAGAATTGTGTTCTTTTACACAGTTGAAAGTCCCAAATCTTTCTAACTCCATGATTTTTAAACCACTAGTGGAAGATATTAACTATATTAGCTGAAATTCTCAGCTATATCAAAAGACACTGCCATACAGTAAAAAATAGCTATCAGCAGAAATCTAAATCATGTAATGGTACCTAAAACTAAAGATTTTACATATCGTATCAAGGATTTTCAGGGAGGACTAAACACAAACATAACTCTATCAGCAGAATAGTCTCTGTTCAGGAGGTTTTTCAAACACCAGGATATGTGCGCATGTATGTATGTAAATGTGTACATATGAGACATGTATGTGTATGTATTCAATTTGTGTGTGCAGATGTGTGTACTCATGCATGCCTGAATGTGTTCTCAATACAGACTCAAATATGAGAGTTCTGGTATATTTAACCACTGAAGAAGTACTGCAATCCAAAAATTCTCCAAATCAAAACCATTAAAACTAAGTAGATGATTCACAGTGAATCAACACACATTGTTTTTCAACTTTTTTTAAATGTCAACTTCAGTACATCTTGTTTTATGTCAATAATTTTTGGAATGTCAATAGGACTGCTTTGGTGTGTTTTTTTTTAATTACATGAAATATGAACCAATACACATCATATCATTATTATGACACTATCACTTTAATATAGTTTCTTAATTTCAAACAGCACCCACCCTGTAAATCTATTTTCCGAGATGTTTCTTTACCTTGATTCCTTTATAATTTTTAAATAATGTTTCAGTGTACTTCAATAGATATTTTGTGAGTACCTAAACTATGAAAAGAATTTTGAATAGTATACCATGGAATAGTGTCTAGAACAGATTAGGGAATTCTACTGAAGAGATTATGTTACAAACATATTATATTTTCCTGTTATTAGCATCAGGCAACACTGAGATTACAGAGTATATCTTAGAATATGTATGAGTCTGATCTTTAAAGGCAAAGTTCCTTTCATTTTCACATGAAAAAAATTCAAATTATCAAGAAGTCAAATTACTGAGTGAACAACATAAAGCTGATATATCAGTGAAAGATTCCAAAATCTAGACTTCTCCCATCCTAGACACCAAAGCAATGATCTTCTCATTATAATCAATTGAAAGGAACTAAACAAATTATACTTACAGAAAATTTGCATATTAATGCAGTATCATTTTAATGCATATTTATTTACATACAAAGTCCACAGCATACACATTATTTCATGTTTGCTCTTATTTTACTCACTGTTAAAACTATTTACTTCATGATAAGATGCCTTGGATTTGCTTCAAAATAATCTACTGACAGGGAGAGTAAGTGTATAAATGAACCAAGATTATCCATAAATTAATATAACTTGAAGCAGGGTGATGGATTCATCCTGGATTCCTTATATTTTTCTATCTACTTTTGTATGTGTTTGAAATATATGTTAGAAATAAGGGAAGAGTCTATATGATTTGTATGTTGTGGAGTATTTTAAAAGCAAATTAGAATATACATCATTATCTGAAAGACAAGCTCAGTGTGTCCACTGAGATATACTGCCAGCTTCAGTTCCCTGATATACCTGAGTCACTGCATTCATTTTCCTGTGTTTACACATAGCCTCAAATTCAGGTCTCAGCTGAAGCTGCTGCTGTTCCTCTTCAAAGTCCACCAGGTCCCACTCATATTCCAACTTGGCTTGCCGCTGTTTCCAAAATTCCAAAAACAATGTGACTATAGGAAAAGAAATGTATGAAAACTCAGAGATGGAGAAATAAAGTAAATAAGAGAATATCTCAGCTTTTCTTTACTTTAAAAATTATTTGGTTGCATGATGGTTCTTCCACCATTATGTTGGATGATAAAATTATAAAACAATTAACTCTAGCATAATGTTAATATATTAATATATTAACTACATTATATATAATAACTATAGAATAATGTTGAAATGATGAATATATAAAAATTAAAGATGATTTCTCAGACAACAGTTCATGTAAGAACATTTTTTCCAAGTATGTTACTCTCCCTACATTCAGAAAATTTAAAGTAATAGCTAAACTTAACTTTTTACTAATATTTAGTTTTTGTTTGCATATATTTTACTGAAAATATTCAAGTAATTATAACACTTCTCAGACTTAGAGAAATATAAGGAAAACATAAGAACCATTCCCCAGTACAATGTATTTCTTCCTTCTCCCCTTGACAGAAGGAAGGATAGATTGATGGATAGATAGATGACAGATAGATAGATAGATAGATACATACATACATACATACATACACAGATGGATAGATGGATGGATGCATGGATGGACAGAGGATGAATGGATGGATGATAGGAAGATGACTATAAGTAGTGTTGCTGAATAGTCTTGTACACAACTTTTTTTTTCTTTTTCTTTTTTTAAAGATTTACTTATCTATGCGTACAAGAACTGGGGTGTAGGCCAGAGGTGCAATGGGTGAGAGGATTCACAACAGACAGAGTGGGGAGCAGAATAGGCAGATCTACTGAAATACACCGCTGAAGAGAGCAGCAGGCGGCAGGAGAGGTCTGCGCGCCAGGAGGGTGGCCGAGATCGAACCGGCGCTGCAGAGGCTGCAGGCAGCTTCGCAACCCAGTGCTCAACCACAGCACCACCGGGGAGGCCCCTTGTACACATCTTTTGATGGACATATACATGTTTTTTCTGTTGGATTTATATTTAAAATTATAATACTAACATCAAGCAATATTAACTTATAAATTTCTCAAAGATTCAACTTTCCATGTTTTCTCTAATTCCCTACTTTCTAAATTGTAAAGAACTAAGTGTTCTCTCTATACATTTAAAACATCTTAATGATATCTTTAACTATTAGCATAGTCATTTAATTGATTGGTCTCTCTGCTTCTAATATCGTTTTTTTAATGCAAATGTATCCTGACTGCTAAAGTTTATTATTTGTTCATCCACTCATGTAAACATTTGCTCATGTGTTATTTTATTCATTTTTTAAAAAAATATTTTATCGTGGTAAGAACATTTAACATGATTATTACCCTCTTAACAACTTTCAAGTCTACTGTACATTATTGTTTGCTACAATACATTATATTGTACAACAGATCTCTACAGTTAATTCATCTTCCTCTTGAAACTTCATATGCACTTACAATTAACTCCCCTTCCCAGCCCCAACAACCTCCATTCCAATTTGACTCTATAAATTTGAGTATTTTTAGATACCTCTAATAAATGGAATCATGAAATATTTCTCTGTATCTGCCTGCCATATTTCACAGAGCATAATGTCTTCATGGTTTATCCATCTTGTTACATATTGCACAATTTTCTTATTTTTTTTTAATTTATTTTTATACAAGAACTGGGGTACAGGCCAGAAGTGCAGGAGGGTGAGAGAATTCACTAGAGACAGAGTGGGGAGCAGAACAGGTGGATCTACTGAAATATGTTGCTGAGGGGAGCAGCGGGCAAGGCAGGAGAGGTCTGCCGCGCCATGTGGGTATCTCCCTGGTCAGCTGGGAGTTGAACCCATGCTGCAGAGGCTGTGATCAGCTTTACAGCGCTGCATTCAACCTGCTGAGCCATGGGGGAGGCCCCGATTTTCTTATTTTTAAGGATGAATAGTATATTCATTTTGTGTGTATGTGTACAAGTTTCTTTATCAATTCATCTGTCAATCTGTCAATGGACATTTAGGTTGTTTCTATTATCTTGCTCATTGTGGATAATAAGGGACTACCCATGCTCCATTGTCCAGCCTTTAAGTGTACATATTTTTGTTTGCTAAAGAGTGTTTTTAACTCTATTCTTTCCTAGTCTCCCAAATTTTGAGACATCTTTAAGAAGCCTTTAGGCCTCTCTTGCTGAGTTACTTTTCCAAAAATGTTCTCCTAAATGATGGTAGAAACAAATTTATGCCACTTCTTATTCCCAAATGAGATGAAATACTGGGACATTTCCAGAATTAAGGGGAATTCTGATACATGTGAAGGATTATTAACATACGAGTTAAATATATAAGGAGTTTAAAAATTTATATCTCAGTTGAGCAAATGGTTAATAGAGAGCTTTCTGGACCAAAGACTAGTAATAAAGACCACTGATGTAGATTTCTATCAGTGTATGGATACTAGCAGACACAATGACATAAAATCACTTTTGGTACATTAGGTGTGTCATCTGAATATGTTGTTCAGATGGGCCATTTAACAAATAACATGGAGAAAAGTTTTTTTTTTTTAATGTGGCTATTTACTCACCCCAAATTCCCATGAATATTGCAAAGAACACTGTTGACTCATTATCAAATAAATGGGAGAACTGTAAAAACAATAATAACATTGCAAAGAGTACTTAGTATCAATTACAAAAGGAGGGAAATTCCAATTCTTTTCAGCATATCAGTATACATACATACCTTTGAAGCCAAACATGTAGTATTTAATCTCCAATAATCACACACTAGATCACAGAGTGGGCACATGATAATCTGACCTCCAACTTCAGGGTCACAGATTTCATTGCTGCAAAGGGAATAGAATTTATTTTTAAAGGGAATAAAAATGTTATTTTTAAAGTGATGTGTGTTTGGGTGAAAATGCAAAGCTGTTCTTATTGGCCTAACTGTACAGCTCATCAGAAGGGGTAATGAAGCAGAGATTTCCATAGGAGATCAAGTCATGCTTGAGTAACAGACGCTGCAGAGTTGGTGGTTAAAAACTGATTTTCTATAAAGCACTATGTGAGAGGAAGCTCTGAATTTGGGTCTTTTTTAGAAGTATCAATGCTGAACTGAATTTGGGTCTTTTTTAGAAGTATCAATTATCTGCTGATATGCAGAGACATTCTGAAGCAAATGCCAGGGAAGAAGTTGCAACAGTTGCTCTTACCTGCTTAAGTTTCTATTCATTGAAAATAAACCATAAATAAAGCAAGCTAAGCCAACCACAGCGGCAAAGGAGAGCATTTCCGTGTAAAATCCAAGGAAGACAAAATAGATGCCAATTTTTTCTCCATAATAATTCCTATGAAAGAGGGCAATAATTAGAATTATAGGTAGAATGATATAGCCTAGAGATTCTCAGTATTATATCCAGACAAGTCTGCATAGTAATATTATCTCCATTGCATTCTAGCTATGTAATTTTGGTAAAGTTTTACTAACCTCTCTAAACTTTATTTTCCATATCACAAAATGTAAGATGATGCTTTTCTACCGAATTGGTGTAAAAATTAACAAAAGAAAATGTAAGCAGGAAATCAATGGAGCAGAAGTTGTTTATTTTTAAAATAATAAGGTAGATGGAAAAATGGTGTTAAATTTGAAAGAGAAATAAATGCTCTTCAAATATTTTATTTATCCATTTTTTAATTGAAGTAACATTGGCATGCCCCCATTAGGTAGCATCACCTGTGTGCACCCACCACCAACTCACCCATATTCCACCGCCATAGACCACTGTGATTCCTTTCCTCTTTGTTCTTACCTCTGCTTTCCACCTAGATCCCTCCCTTCTTGATGCTTCAGTTCTGTAATCAGCTATTAAGGATTAGTTTTCATTTTGTCTTTATCTGACTCTTAGTTGAGTTACTTTATATTCCACATATTTGTGACAACGAAATATTACTGAGTGATCAAAAAAGACACTCATGCCACTTGCAGCAACATGGAGCTTGAAGGGATATTGTTAAGTGAAATTAGCCAGAATGAGAATTAAGTGTTTTGAAATAACTACAGAGCATTCTGCACTGTTTAGCTGCTGGCCTGTACACCAGATCTTGCATGCATAAATAAATAAATCTTTAAAAAAAATACACATTGTCTTTACAGCTCTCTGAGATGAAAACACACACACACACAGAGCACAATCTTTCTGTCATCTTCTAAATTGCTGGACTCAGAAAAACTGAACTAAATTAATACATATTATGTGCTAAATGCTAGCCCCTCTGCTATATAGATACACATACCTCATCTGATTATCAAATAACCCTATAAAGAAAGTACTATTGCTATTCTCATTTCACAGGTGAGTCTCATAGAGATTAACTTTTTGTTTGTTTTTATTTCATTTTTTTTATTGAGGTAACATGGGTTTACAACACTGTATATGTTTCAGAAGTATAGGGTCACACCTCTTTAGGAGGTTAAGTAACTTGACCAAGTTGGTATACCATCTAAGAGGAAGGACTTGGATTTGATCCCAGAATTCCTAGACATCAAGGTCCATCGTCTGAACCAGTGAACAATCTCTGCATAGTACTTAAGAACATTTTGTAAACAGCACGCTATCATGTCTAGAATAGTTAGAACACTGGTAAGGATTACAATGTAATGGGTGAAATGGTAAAAAGAGTGGAGGGGCGGAGGGGCCTCCCTGGTGGTGCAAGGGGTTAAGCACCCCACTACCAAGCTATCCGCAGCCTCTGCAGCATGAGTTAGATCCCCAGCCAGCCAGGGAGCAACCCACATGGCGCTGCAGACCTCTCCTGACTCACCCACTGCTCCCCTCAGCAGTGTACTTCGGTCAATCTGCCTATTCTGCTCCCCACTCTGTCTCTGGTGAATACTCTCACCCCCTTCCCCTGCATCTCTGGCCTGTACCCCAGCTCTTGTATGTATAAATAAATAAATATTTTAAAAAAGAGTGTAATATGATATCATTGTAAATAAAAATCTTATCATCAAGCTTTAATAGGTGCAATCGTATCTAATACTTACCTAATCAAATTTAAAGGCTGCTCCTTATAAAAATAGGAAAGACTAGCCCAATTCTGGGAAAGTGTATATCTTTCATTGACAGGATTAGGAGGTTCTGAAGGCTTCCAATATTGACCCTGTAGAGATTTAAGAACAAAGTACTTCAAAAGAATGAAATAACTGGGCCTCCCCGGTGGCTCAGCAGTTGAGCGCTGGGTTGTGAAGCAGCCTCTGCAGTGCCGGTTCTATCCCCGGCTGATCCCCGACCACAGGCGAGGGTGCCACATGGCGTGCAGACCTGTCCTGCCGCCCGCTGCTCCCCTCAGCAGTGTATTTCGTCATTCTGCCTGTTCTCTTCCCCGTTCTAGCTCTGGTGAATTCTCTCACCTTCCCACGCTTCTGATTGTACCCAGTGCTTGTATAAATAAATAAATAAATCTTAAAAGAAAAAAGAATGAAATAACTGAGTGCTGCTTTTATAAATGGTGTTATAAGTTAGTGAAAAGTTTAGTGGAAAAGGCTAATGTTCTTTTTTACTTTTAGATTTGGGTTTCCATTTCATATTTCTTTGATGTGAAGTTGTTTACTAAAATCTACAATAAACTATAATAACTGCAATTTATTTTTAAACACTTGAACCCAGTTAAAAGTTAATGTTGGAAACTGACTCAATTTAAGCTATTCCTTTCACATGAAAAGCCCTTTCTTTGCTACTCAAATTCCATAATAATATTCATGGTACAGAGATTCATCTAACCATCTCACTGGGGAAGATTTTAGAAATAGGCTAACACTTTTATATTATAGTTGGAAAAATTAAATTCCAACAAACTTAAGTAAATGATCCGATATTCACACTGCTACAGCAGGATTCTCCACCAGGGATCCTGTCTTGTCCTCACCATATCCTTCACTGATGTCCATTTCCCAAAGAACTTAAATATATATTACAAACTTTAGCACTTAAGAGACTCAGTCTCGTGTCATCATAATTTCTTTCTTCATTATCAAGTGCAGACTAACTTATTAACATCCCTTCAGAACCTAGCACAGTGCTTTCTCCTCACAACTATTCAACATATTCTTTTCAACTGTGAATTGTTGAAGATAACGTTAAATATATATGCATTTAGAATTAAAAACAGGGCCTCCCTGATGGCACAGGGGTTAAAGACAGAGCTGTCAAGCTATCACCAGCCACTGCAGCACAAGTTCAATCCCTGGCCGGCCAGGGAGTTATTCACATGGTGAGGCAGACCTCGCCTATCTTGCCCACTGCTCCCTTCAGCAGTGTATTTCAGTAGATCTGCCTGTTCTGCTCCCCACTCTTTCTGATGAATCCTCTCACCCCTCCCTCCTCCCTCCCCACCCCACACCTCTGGCTTACACCCCAGTTCTTGTATGCATACATAAATAAATCTTTTAAAAAATAATTAAAAACATGCAGAAATCTGTAAGATAAGGTGTAAGACTTTATATCATCTAGATCTCAACATTTTTCTTGTTCTGTAGCTATTCCTATGGAATCTTGAGAAACGAAATAGAAAAAAATGGAAAAAAAAGGCAGCTTATTTGGGTATCTTAAAAAGTAATTCTTTAAAGCACATATGGGAAATTCAGTATCTATATTTGCATTCAGGAAAATAAACAGAAAGACAATAAAAAAATTCACTAATTTTACCTACCTCTAACAACAGCTCAGTAATACAAATTTTCTAGCGAGCATGAAGGAATCTTTTGGAAGTCCAGACATAAGAACTAAAATTGCTAGTGACCAAGGATAATAGTTTGGCTTTATGGGCTAATACTAAAGGGAGAATTAATGTTTTAAAAACAAACAAACAAAAATCCTCAGTCTTAAAACAAAAACAAAAACAAAAACAAAAACAAGCTCTATGAAGAAAGATCTCTCCATTTTATCAAATTAAATTCCCCTGGCATTATTTAGGATCCACGGTCCCCTAGAAGTTCTTTTGCCCCAAGGAAAAAATGAGGGAGGGGTGGGTTAGGATGGTGGGAAGGAGATTATTTCTCTAACACAAGCTAAATACACTTGAATTAATACTCATGTTGAAAATTGCCACTTTCTTTGTTCAATTCTTCTGCACTCTTGTGGGAAATATCAAAGATATAATCAGCTAACCAGTGTTGAAATGACCTAGAGTCAATTATCACGGTCTTCAATAAATACTGACAGAGAAAAGGTGGCACAACAGTTCAAGACCAGGGAAAGAGAAAGTTTGGATTTGGACTTTTGGAAACTATTTCAGCATCATTACTGTAAAAAGCAAGTGCAGTGATTTAGGTGCTACTTATTTAAATGGGAACACTTGGTTCTCCTACAGTATAATAAACACGTTTCTTGCAAAGAGAGCACATCATCAAAAAGTATTTTATTCTTATAGAAGAACAAAACTGGAACAAAATAAATGAAAATTCCAAATGATAACTAAAGTATTCTACAAATGTTCAGTAATATGATGTCAGTACTGCCAACTGTGGAACTGAAACACTAAAAACTTTGGCTATCCAAAAGGAAAGGTTCCCCTCAGAAATCCCCAGAACTCAGGCTATCTTAGTTGTCCCATTAAGTTTTCATGTTTGGCTAAGTGTGTGTTATAGAAAATTTCACTTTTGTGTTAAACTTATAAAGGTTATTTTTGTGCAGTGATCCACCAACCCCAAAGAATCCTTCTTCTGAATGTCATTACCTGTCTGAATCTTTCTTATGAACTGAAATCTTCAGTTTGTTTGGCAGCTGTACACAATCCTTATTTTCCCAAATTCCTAGGCTGTAAGCTTGGAAACCTGGTTCTATTCTCATAATGCTTAACAGATTGCTTTATATATAATTAAAACCAATTATGCATTTGATGAATAAATATATGGACACAAGCAATTTAAGTCTTTTTTTAGCTTCAAAACTTAAAGAAATGAGGAAAGATCTGGTGACTTAAGGTAAAATTTCCAGATACTATATCCTAAATTGTTCTTTTAATATAACTGCCATTTTCAAAATCGATGATAAAGAAAATTTACATGAAAATGTACTTTTTTAAAAAAAGATTTTATTCATTTATTTATACAAGCACTGGGGTACAGTCAGAAGCGGGGGAGGGTGAGAGAATTCAGGAGAGCCAGAGCGGGGAGCAGAACAGGCAGACTGATGAAGTACACTGCTGGGGGGAGCAGTGGGCGGCAGGAGAGGTCTGCGTGCCATGTGGGACCCTTGTCTGGCAGCCAGGGATCGAACTGGCGCTGCAGAGGCTGCGGGCAGCTTCACAACCCAATGCTCAACCACTGCACCACCGGGGAGGCCCCATGAAAATGTACTTTTAAACATGAATTTCCACTCATGTGAAAACATATTAACTATATGTTTCAGCATTGTTGGCACAGTTCTTAGCTCAGAAAAGGGGTCTATGGGGGTTTTCCCAAAGAGAGAGAATTAGTAATCTATCATAAAGAAGAAAGCAAATAGAAGTATCTTCCAACAAGGGAAACTCTGAAAGTGGGAGAGGGAAAGTGGATTCAGTATTTCAAAATCAAGTTTATACTTACATCATGGAGTGGATACGCAGATGAATAAGTGTTAGAACTTAGTAGTCTTTCAATCCCAAATCTTTTCTTCCCATCTTCCATGCCAAAAGGACACCGTGAGAGAATATAATAAACCTATCAGGTAAGTATAAAGAGACACACATCACAGAACTTTATACATTGCACATTTTTTAAAATACCAATTTAAATTACAATGAATAAAGATACTGGAACTGATTACCGAAGGCACCTTCCCTTTGTTGTTTAGGAAAAGATGTAGAGAGTAGGATTGTGTGGAGTTTGAAGGTGCTTTATTTAGGTCCTGGGTAAGGACACTTTCTAATTCTCTCATTAAGTGGTGAGCAGGAATGAATCATAATTTTTCTCCCATCCCAAGCTTCTCTGGGAGTCCGTTGGTCAGAATTTCTACTATAATCAGGATTTGGAGATGGAATCTATTATCAATGCTATCAACAGTGCAGTTAGGAGTGCAGTTAGGAGAATGTGGAGTAGAATTGATATTTGGAGTAGAATTGATACTGGTATTTTGCCATCTTGTCTTTAATAATTCAATTAATTACTCTGTGTAAGATCTTTTTCTGCAATCTGAATTTATTAACTCAAGGGTGTCCAATGTCTACCTTGCAAGTTATATTGTTATACTGGGTTTGTGCTCTGTGTGATTTGAACTTCGGTGTCCTCTACTTTTATATTTCTTTCAATTCAATCCATCTGTTTTTTGTCTTCCAACAACTTTCTGCTTTCTGATGTTGAATTTGGTTTATTGAACTGTTTTAGATACATTTCCCTCCACCCCTTTTTATATTTCATTTAAGGAATTGTTGTTAGAGTGACTGTTGTCCTTGAATCATTATTATCTAATCTGTTTGCTCATTTTGAAGGCAGTTTAATATTTCATCTTGGTAAATAAATGATAAATTATGCAAGGTAGTTTTATTTATTTATTTATTACTATTTTTTACAACATTGTTCATTTTTAAACAATATTTGTTTTCCCCCACCCCCTCAGGTGTAGTCCCCATATAATTTCCTTCACCCCAAATGCCCAAAAATAGATGACTGGATCAAGAAGATGTGGTACATATACACAATGGAATATTACTCAGCAATCAAAAAGATAAACACATGCAATTTGCAGCAACATGGATGGAGCTGGAAGGGATTATGCCCAGCGAAATAAGCCAGAAAGAAAAAGAAAAATACCGGATGGTCTCACTCATAGCAGGAATCTAGAAAACCTAAATAAGGGGCCAGGAAAAAGGATAACTACAAGAAAGAAAAAATCAAAATCAACAAACAACTATAAACCAGAGACACACTATGGGGGGCAGGGAAAGGTGGGATTGGGGTCATAATAAGGGGGGTGCTATTGTATGGAGAATATAAAAATCAATAAATTAAAAAAAATCACACACAAAACAAGAATTTCCTTCATCAGTGCACCCGTGCACCATCACCTCAGTTCCCCATGCTCCTCCCTCCCTCCCTCTACTTCCTCTCCCTCCTCCCCTGCAGGATGTCTCTGATTTATAATTGTCTGTTTTTGCCTTGTTGTGTTTTGTACTGTTATTATTTTTTTACACTGATATCTTATTTGGTGCCCCTATATTCCTGTGATAAGTGAAACCATCGGATATTTTTCTTTTTCCTTCAGGCTTATTTCACTGAGCATAATTCCATCTAGCTCCATCCATGTTGCTGTGAATCTTTTTTGATTGCTGAGTAATATTCCATTGTGTATATATACCACATCTGCTTGATCCAGTCATCTATTTTTGGGCATTTGGGTTGTTTCTAGGTTTTACCTATTGTAAATAGTGCTATGCAAGGTAGTTTTAATTTTTACAAATAATGTGATAATATTGACCGTATTATATACTTTGGATTATTTCTTTAGAAAAGTTCCACCAAAATAAGAACTCAGTTTGAGATTGTTAGCAAAATGGATAATTTTACTCTATGAGATATTAAGACTAAGAATAGAGTTAATGGCAATAAATAAATACAGAATATTATTTTCAAATAACACAAATCCAGACTTAAGAAAGAATTTATTTGAAAATATTATTGCAGAGGGTAGGGAGGACATTGCAATAGGGAAATCTGCGAATATATGAAAAATCAGGCTTTACTTTTTTTAGGAAGAAATAAGCCAATTTTAGGGAATGTCTTTCCTTGTGTCAAGAATGGTTATTCTATATGCCAGTGTTGGCTCAGGTAGAGGGTGTGCCACAGCTTAGGGTCTTGTAGTTAAGAAAGAAGTTTAACTAAGGTTTGACTGATAGAGCTAACAAGTACTTTGTTTTGAAGGATCAATAAGAAAAGTACAATGAACAAACCATTCATAAAACAAAGATGGGGGATGTGGAAGACTGTGTCTGACCTTTATTACTATAAAGTAATAACAAATGGAAGAAATTGTAAGGATAAGTACTGCAATTCCCTTGTGCCAAAAGGAAAACAGACTTTCTCTAACTCCTTTTTCATTATTTCCTTTAGAGAATTTGTCATAGATTCTTTCAGTGGCTCAAATGGACTTTGAAGCCTGATCAATACCATAAAATACTTATAAAAATTGATGCAGAAACACCGTGCAGACACAGTATTGCACATCGACACTTCTAAGAGGATACACAGGCACAAGTCCCTTACTCAAAAAGATGTGCTCAAAGGGTTTCTCAACCTACAATTCTGTTTCTTGACGAGGATGGGAAGAAGCTGTTCTTGTCTTCAATGAGGAAGAGTTCCTGCCGATGTCTGCTGAATTGGGCAGTAAAATAATCTGGTTTAGGATACTTCACATTCCTTGGTAGCTTCACAGGGTCAAGCACATATTTAAAGGGCATGTTCCGGACTCGGGGAATATCACTCTCTTTAATAGGCATTTTCATTCCCAGCACTTCAGCGTAAGTAACTAATACCTCCCAAGGGGCATGGATCTTGACAAAATAAGTTCTTCCATCTTCAGAGTTCTGAATAAAAAAAGGAAAAATAACAGAAGAAATAGTGATCTTAAGGAGACAAAATTTTATAAAATCTCAAACAAATTAAAAAGGTCATAGCCCTGCCAGTTTATTGAAAATTTTCAGTAAACTTTTAAGACCAAATGCTCAAAATATGTATGTGTGTGTGTATGTGTGTTATGTTTGTGTGTGTGTGTGACAGAGACATATTTTCACTAGCCTGAAGTTTACAGATACCTTTGTGGTTCTTATCAATCTCTTACTTTGTTATCAACTATGACTCAGAACTGTGCTAAGAGTAGATGAGGGATACATAGAAAGCATAAGACAGACTCGCTGCCCTGGACCCAGAGGAAGAACTTTAGGTAATAAGGGTTCATTACACAGCATAATTGTCAAGATTATTAAGTAATGCATGGTGTGGTAATACATATTTATTAGTTTGGTAACAGCAGAGATAAATAACAGCCGTAGAAGGATAGTATTAGAGTTTTATGGACAAAATGGGATTGGAAATAGATCTTATTAAATATTTGAAGGAAATTCTAGAAAAACAGTAAATGGTAGGAGAATTTGAAATGAAAAAAAATGAAAAAGAATTTGACATATTCATGAGCATTAAAAATACCTTGACTTAAATAGCCAGCTGTGCTGTAAAACAGGTTAGTTAGTTAGGGTGTTGGACTTAACAGGCAGTATTCTAAATGTCTTCTATTTATGAAAATAAGCCATGTCTTCAATTTATCTGTATCCCAAATACAATTATAAGTCTATTTTAAAGCCCTCCATTCAACATCTCATATTCAGAGCACTGGCCAACTTACTGGAAGGCCACTGGCCTTGCCATCCCCATGGTACATTTCTGTAGCCAGAGGTACTGAATGCTACCACACACATAGCTGGCCCATCACAGGCCAGAGCGGGACAAACCAACATTTATTTTTATATTTTTAATTTTTATTTTTTTACAACATTATTCATTTTTAAACAATATTTGCTACCCCTACCTCAGTTGTAGTCCCCATATAACCAACATTTAAATTAACAATTCCTTTACCATTTTGTCTTCAATTTCCAACTCAAGACCTGTTTTTCTGAGATTTTGTTCAAACTCTTTTCTTCTTTCCTATGGAAAACAAAGCAATAGAATTATGTAGAACACGTTCATTTGCCTGGTGACCAACAGACTTGTTGTGCAGTGACTGTGCCATCAGATGGTCCTCCGCCTCCGCCCTGGTTGCCTGTGAAGGTCCTCTCTGTAACACCTTCATCTTAATGCCATGTCCTGCTTTTCATCTGTATTAGAATTCATCTGTATTACATCTAACAATCTAATACATCTAGGAATAATTTCCAAGAAATGTGCAGTACCTCTATCTTAAACCTGCATAAAACTGCATTGAATAACATTAAAAATAGACTTGATAAACAGAGACAGATCATATTCCTAATTGGAAAGTGTTGCAGTTATTAGAAATAATAAGTTCTAGGGGAGTGAAATGTTGAGTTAGAGACTAAAATAATGAACAAAAGAGGCTAAAATGCCAAAATAATCATACATGTAACCTTTGAGATTATCAATAATTTATAAATAAGTATGGGTGGAAAGAGTGACAGTGAAATAGGTCCTAAAGTTGTTGAGATGAGGGAGAACAATTGGGTATATATGTTTATACACATGTATTAATGTACTAATTTATTATTTAAAATATCTAATATTTACAGAGTATTCATTATGCTCTAGTCACTTTTCTAGGCATGTGTATATTCAGTCATGAACAAGATAAATGCCTTAGTCTTAGGAACTTGATTTATGGTACTGGGCACAGTAAACAAGTAAAAAAAGAATAAGCACGTCCAGAATGTGACATGTTATAATGAAAGTTAAGATAAGGAACAGATTTAATGTGAAGACCAAGATAAAATATATATCATACATTTTCAAAATAAAACTTGCATAGAAAGATAAACATTATATTCCTACACACACCTCAAATTTTGAAGGTCACATTTAATATCTAAATGTGAGCTATATAAAAAATATACTATTTGAAAGTAGAAAAACAGTTCATATCCAAAATGTTCAAAACATGAAATTGACTTTACACATCCACTGACTTTATACTTCCATTCTCAGACTGTCTATTTTGCAGTTTTCTCAATTCAGTGTCAGTTTTTAAAAACATTTTAGAGGCCTCTGACTTTTACAGTGTAATTCCATGGGAATATATCAAACATGTGAAACAATAGAACGTGCTTCTTTTTACTATTTCCTTTTTTCTCAGGTAGGTACTTACTGACTTTACATCTGTTTCCTTCTTTAGGTCATCAACATAGGAAAGCACAAAATCAATCTGCCTTATTCCGTCTCGGAAGAAGATAGAATCTTTGCTTTGTTCATCTTTTTTAAACTGCAGGAAACATAAATGACACAACTTTAATCTACAGTTTTACTTCCAAATGACAAAAAAAAAAAAAAAACAAAAAAACTGAACGGGATTAATGCAATCCAGTTTCCATTCAATTTTTTTTTCAGCCCTAAAATGATAAATTAAGACAAATAACCAATATTTTCATCAAAGAAGATTTTGCTGTTTTAGAAAGTGAAATTCCATAAAGGACATATACACTAAACAGTAAAGATTCAAGACAAATTAAGTATACAAACTACATGCACATGCAACAAGAATGCTGCAGTTATACCAAAATATAAAACGAGTATGTATATACATTGATCCCACAATGTATATCAGAGAGAAACTTGTTATCTTCATTACATGACATTCCAATTATTAGTAGTAGAACAAATATTCATGGTCTACATAACACTTTGGAGGTAGAATTAATTGTAGACCAATTAATGAATCTCTCATTAAGAAAATGAACTTATACTTAATACTTATACTATGTTTTCATGAAATTGTCACTTCTAATTCAACTTTGAAGGGTTAAAATAAAATCAAGGTGCAGATAAAAATTTGAAGCTGATAGCTTGCCAGCTGACTTTGCTACAACTAAATTCTCATGCAAATTTCCATTCAACATCAATTTCCTAGGTGAGCCAAAATCATACCTTTGTTTAACATTTGTATTATATTCTCAGCATATATTCAAACTTAAAATTCCACTCAGCATATACTCCAACTTAAAATTCAACTATCACATATTGTATAGTTTCTTATCCTCCTCTTTTAAAACTGTGAATACACTAGAAATCTTCAAAAACACGGAAGTTCATATTTGACTGATTTGGTCTTCTTCATAGTTTATATGTGATTTAATACTTGGAATAGCCCACATATAATAATTAGAATGATACAAATAAATATTTCAGTGGATGTCAGCGATGTCTGTAAACCAGTGATGCAGTTATAATACATCCAACTTTCTAATAGCCCTAATTAGCTTGTGAATGGGGGAACTGTATACCATAATTTTCATAGTTGAAATTTATATTCATTTGTGAGTGAGTTTTTTTTTTATGATACTCTAAAATATGTTTCAACCAAGTCAGGCCAAGCAGACCATCCATAGTAAGGAATGGATATAGATCAGTCATACACAAACATAACAAAAATCTCATGTGTGATGTTGTCTGTGAATACAGAAACTACATTTTATCTATGAATGCATAGCTGATGTGTCTCAGAAAGTAGTAGCTCCCAATGCACAGAAGTGGGTGAGAAAATGGGTAAAGAAACAAAACAATAAGGGAGTCTGAATATTAAGTATCAAAACATATTAGCTAAAATGTTATATCACATTTCCTCAGCTATCTCCCTTTTCCTAAAAGTAAGAAAATTTAATCTCAAACTGTCATCATGTTGTGTTTTGATTACAAATCACTTAAAAGAAGAACACAGAAGAAAAAATTATATGACCTATACAATCATCACAGTATTTATCAGATCTTATAAAATTCATCAAAACTTGTATTATATACCTCCTTTCTACAGAAGGCCAAAGGCTACCTAGAAATACCCAAACTTCTACCATTATGCAGGACTTTAACTATAAACCACACATTTTTTTTAAACACAAAGACACCATTGGTAGCCTTGAGGCTCATACCTTAGGACTATTAACAAAATGTGTTGAATCCAAGGGGGGCAGAAACCTGATTAATTTTGGTACATTTAATTGAATACTATTAAAACATTTCATTCCTTTGTCTTGTTCAAGACATGACCATATTTTGCAGTATGTGTGTTTGTGTTTATATTTGATTTATTCTTAGAAGTACCTATTTACCATAAAGTAAAATTATGTGGCTTTTCTTTGAATGACAAAGTTACTCTGAGGTTCACAGACTTTTATTACTGGTGGGGATTCATAGACCTCTGAAATTTTATATAAAGAGTGTGTGTACGTGTGTGTGTGTGTGCATGCATGTGTGTGTGTGTGAAAGAAGTTCCATAGCTTTAATCAGATCCAAAAAAGATTAAGGATCACCATTCTAAAACCTCAATTGTCTGAGCAATAGGAACCAGTGACAAAGTCCCACCCACCCCCTAAATCAGTATTGTTTCTTGGAATGAAAGTAACTCAGGCTATCACTGCAGGCATCCAGAGCATAAGCAGCATCATTCCGCACTGGTTTTACCATAAGACGCCGCCTCAGGAACAAATTGTACCGCTTTGCAGGCTGTGAAGTAATCAATAGACAGTTAGCAAATCCTCCCCACATTAAAGGAAAGATTGCACAAAACCAGACAACCAAACAAACAAACGCCATTATGATCACTTCTAGGTGTGTGTGTGTGTTGTGTGTGTTGTGCATGGTGTGTGATTTTAAAGTTGAAGGAGGGTGGGAGCTGTTAACAAGAAGGAATGAAGCATGACAGAATAAAAAAAAAAATGAAAGGGGGGGGAAATGAAAACTTCATAATAAATCTCCCTAAGTCCTTTATACAGTAATATCCCTCCAATGTTGATGAGAATGAATATAATCCACAACCTCTGCTAGGTATGTACCCAAAGAATATAAAACCCTAATACAAAAAAGACTTGTGTACTTCTAGTTTCATAGGAGCATTGTCCACTATTGCCAAATCAGTAGAGAAATGCAAATTAGTATAAACATTATGAGTCTCTTCACATACTTCCAGAGGAAAAATAACATATCAGGGGTGAAACAGCTAAAGAAAACTTTTTGAAGTAATGGAAATCTATATCTTCATTGCAGTATTTTTTTTAAAGATTTATTTATTTATGCATACAAGAACTAGCGTACAGGCCAGAGATGCAGAGAGTGCGAGGATTCACCAGAGACAGAGTGGGGAACAGAACAGGTGGAATGACTGAAATACAGTGCTGAGGGGAGCAGCAGGCAAGACAGGAGAGGTCTGCTGTGCCATGTAGGTGGCTCCCTAGCTGGCCGAGGACTGAACTCGTGATGCAGAGGCTGCGGATTGCTTCATAGTGCTGTGCTTAATCCCTTGTACCACCAGGAAGGCCTGTTGTATTTTTTAAAAACTCATCAAACTGTACACTTAAATTGGATGCATTTCGTTGTATGTAATGTATAAACAATAAAGTTGGTAATTCTTTAAAAGTTTTTGGTTTGCACACTTAGAAGGATGGATTGTGTATAGCTGAGATATACAAGAATTCAGTAGAACGCTTTTGTTTTTGAGGATGAAAACAATTACATTTTAAACATATTAATCTTCAGATGTCTTTAGATATCCAAATGCACATGATGGGAAATCACTTGGATATTTCAGTTTGAAATTCAGGAGTGATATCTATTCTATTGATAGAAACTTAAAGAGTTTCAGTAAGAGCTGACAGCATGTTAATGCTACTTAAGACCATGAAACTGGATGAAATGAGATCACTAGGAGACTGAATTAAATTGTGCTGAGCTCCAGCACAATCTAAATATATACAAAGATCAATTAGAAGTACCATGCTGTATATACTGATTGTTTCTGGTCCAATTATTCAAAGGTAATTTCTGATTGATTTGTACCTATACCATATAAATCATTAACATATTTGTAATATCATCCCTGAAGTTAACCAGATCCACACTCCTTCAAAAACTGTTAATGTCATGTTTGTTGTTATTAAATCATGCCTGTAGTATTGCCTTTCCAATTCCCATTCCTTCGTTAAACTCTAATACTTATCCCAAACACAAATGGTACTCCCTTAGAAATCAGTACACTTAGGTATAATTTTCTCTATTTCATTTAAATGTTTTAGTGTCCTATGCTAGTAATTTAACTAGCAATTTAGGTACTCAATCAAATCCACTCTTAACTATTTTAAATAAAGTGTTAAATTATGTTAATTATTCTATATTTATTATATCACTAATAGTGTAGTGGTGGGAACCACAAAATTCCATTTTTTTCAAAATGAAAATGTCCACTGATAACCTGTTGGATTTTTGTCTTGGCAAATCTTTTTCACACCTGCTATTTTCTTATGAGGATGACTGTTTCATATATATATATATATATATATATATATATATATATATATATATATTATTAAGGAATTCCTTTACTACTGGCTTCCCACAATGATTGAATGGAGGGAAAAGAATAAGTGATTTCCTTCTTGGGGTTGAATTCAGGAAGACTGTAGCAAACTGAAGGGGAATTTGGCAATATATGTCAAAATTATAATTGCCTTTACTCTTTGCTACAGAAATCATATTTATAAAGATATGAATGACTCCACTCAATTGTCTATCAATAAAGGGACCATATTAATATACTAAGTTAATCCCCACAATGGAATATGAAACTTATACGCATATAGATTTAACTGTTCATGATATGTCCTTAAGTCAAAATCAAGGAACAGACCAGTATATGCAGTATAAACCCACAATCCCACAATCTTCATTGTAGAACACTAACACACTCACATACAACACAACACACACACACACACACACACACACACACACAGAGGGAAGACAAAAGAACACACTGGAAAAATAAACCAAATTACTACAGTATGATTAAGAGGAAAATGAGTTGTTTGTTTCATAGTTTTAACCAAAAATAAGTTTACTTTTTGAAGTTTACTTAATGAAGTCTAAACTTTGGTGCTCTCCCTTGTACAACCCAAGAACTTAGGAGGGATTCCAGCAGTGTATTCTCATGTCAAATATTTTTGTAAGATTTTATTTATTTATTTTTTTTTAAATAATAAATTTTATTTTTATATTCCCCCATACAATTGCAAACGCCCCATTCTGACTCCAATCCTTCCCCTCCCGCCCCCCCACCCCCCAAAAAGTGTCTCTGGTTCATAGTTTTTTGTTGATTTTGATTTTCACTTTCTTATATTCATTTTCCTGGTCCATATTTAAGTTTTCTAGATTCCTGCTATGAGTGAGACCATCCGGTATTTTTCTTTTTCTTTTTGGCTTATTTCGCTGAGCATGATC